AGCCGAAGGCAGTCACTTAACCAACCGAGCCACCCAGGCGCCCTGAACCATCTGACTTTAAACTGCATCACATATTACTTTGATAAAAGTATTAATTTGGGGCGCCTGGGCTCAGTCGGGTTAAGCGACCAACTTGGTTTCGGCTCAGGTCATGATCTCAGGGTCGTGAGATCAAGCCCCACATTGGGCTCCGTGCTAAGCATGGAGCCTGCTTGGGATTCTCTTTCTCCCTCTGCCCCTCACCTCACCCACTCCCCCGCTCATGCACTCGTGCACTCTTTCTTTCTTAAAAAAAAAAAGTATCAATGCTTTAAAAAGTGAATGAAGCAGTGCTTGGAGGAAGCAGGAACAAAGAGCTCATTTATCCGAACAATTCAGATTCTGGTACACTGCAGGGATCGGGATCGTTCCCAGGGAAACAGGGAGGGAGCTGATATATGAATCCTGCGCTGGGTAAGCGGAAGCCCCCGTCTACTAGCATCATGTCCAGGCTGTGTGTCTGGCGCTGCCCTCTGGGCTCCTCCAGGCCCCTGAAGTGCTGGGGGGTGGTGTGGGTGGCACACAGAAACCCTCAGCCGAGACGAACAACTTGGGTCTGGATCCAAGTGAGCAGTATGTCCACAGCAGGAGCCCATAATGTCCCTGGCACAGGGTTAACCAACGACACTCATGCTTCATCTTGCTTCATCTTCCTAAGAAGGATGTGGGTCGGATCCTTTAAAGACGTATTCATATATTTAGAGAGAGAGAGAGAGAGAGAGAGAGAGCACGCGTGCCAGTGAGTTGGGGGTGGGGGGCATAACGGGAGCATCTCAAGCTGACTGAGCACAGAGCTGGACGCAGGGCTCGATCTCACAACCCTGAGATCATGACCTGAGCCGAAACCAAGAGTCGGATGCTTAACTGAGTGTGCCCCCAAGCGCCCTGGGTCGGGTCCTTTAATGTCCTTGTTCAACCAAAGAGGAAAATTAAGCTTGGAGACATCAAAGAAGGCATCCACGTTGATTGCATTGACTATGAAGCACAGCTAGGACAGGAACCCAGGTGTGCGGGGCTCCAAACAGAGCCCCGCTGCCTGTTCAACCACTTCCGGTCCTTGGTCCTTGAGGAAGTCCCTTAACCTCTCTGACCCCAGTTTCTTTCTCGGTAAAGCTAATGATTCTGGCTCTACTTCCCTGTTGGGCTCAAATAAGATAATATATGTGACAATTCTAAAGGAGCTTCAAGTGCCAATGTATGCAAATGCAAATATTATTTTTGATGACAGGAGGGAGACAGGCAAGTCTTGTGACCCTACTTGGTCTCCTACAGAAACTTCAGGGAAGCCAGCTTTAGTGCGGATCCTGAGAAGAGCCAGACAGCAGCTGGGTCAGTAGGCAGGATGATGTGGCAGGCCACCTCTCCCTGGAGGACCCGTAATATTAAATTCTGAGGATTTCTTCTCCTTCTTCATTTTCCATGAATCCCGGAGTCTTCTGCGAGCATGGTGTTCAGAAACACCGCAGCCTTCAGCTCCGGGTAAGCATTTGTGACTGGACTGAATTGAACAACTCTGAGTGAAAAACTGTTTCTTTCCTTTTCCCCAGGCGTCTGGACAAGCATGATTTGGGGCCACCTTTTACTTGGTTGAGCTGATTTCATCAGTTCGGTAACTGGAATTTCCAGACATTTACTGCCCCAGTATGCCCCCTGGTGGACAGTCTCGCATTTTATTCCCGAACTTTCTCAATGTCTCTTCACATTCTTAAACAAAAGCCCTCAGGGACTCTTGCAATGTGCAAGCTGGTCTTATTTCCACGCTAGAATGAGAAAACACGTTTAGAGAGAGGAAGGAATTTGCAAGTTCCTGGAACTGCATTTAGTGTCTTTTTCCCCCATTCAGCAAAAACCCAAAATACTGCAGTCTGCGCGGTCTGGGTTTGAGCCCAGTTTAAGTCCTGGCTCAGCAACTGTCACCAAGTGAGGTCCTTTCACAGAATTAAATTTGATCCCTACCAGGCCTTCTATTATTATGGACATTTGCATTTGGAGGGACTATTCTGTGCAATGAATGTGCTGAAGAACTTGCAGAAGAAAAACTGACGGCTGATGTACCAATCCAACTCATGCGTGTGTTTTAATGTTTGGTGGGTTTGTGGTAATCCCCTAAAATAGGGTTTAAACTTGAAAATATAGGTGGTGGGATCTCTTCAGACTTCTTCCTCAGCCACTGACCACTTTACCATGAGTGTGCTTAGCTTTGAAGTCCTCTGTGGCTGTGGGGGGCCATTCTCCATTCTGGGGGAAAGCCTGCCCTCTGGGGCTCAGAGCAGCCCTGTGGCTGAGCTCCGTAACCTGGAGTCGGGTTGCCAGCTTCAGCCCCCACTGACACTGCCATTCAGTAGATCTGTGACTTATCTTCCTCCCAGGGGAAACAGGGATAAAAAGTAATATTCACCTCTTAAGTGTGGGGAAGATTCAGCCACACAACTTACAGAAAGCACTCAGCACCTAGCATGCCACAGGTGATAGGCTGTCCTTCTCTGTGGCTGTTAATGAGCTGACCTGAGGTGGTGCCTTGAAGCTTGCAGTCATGACACACAAGGGAAGCAGTGTGGGTGTTTCCTTCAAATACCTTCTCTCATGCTATTGCTTTTGTTCCACATATGAGTGAAACCATATGCTAACTGTCTGTCTCTGCTTGACTTATTTCACTTAGCATAATCCCCTCCAGTACTATCCAGGTTGATGCAAATGCTGGGTATTCATTCTTTTGGATGGCTGAGCAATATTCCATTGTGTATATGAACCACATCTTCTTTATCCATTCATCTGTTGAAGGGCATCTCGGCTCCTTCCACAGTTTGGCTATTGTGGACATTGCTGCTATAAACATTGGGGTGCATGTGCCCCTTCTTTTCACTACATCTGTGTCTTTGGGGTAAATACCTAGGAGTGAAATTGCTGGGTGTTATATGCAACTAATGAAACACTGAACACTACATCAAAGACTAATGATGTACTATACAGTGGCTAACTGAACATAATAAAACAAACAAACAAACAAATACCTTCTCCCAGTAGAGGATCTCAGCCCCGGTGGTGTCTGCAAGCCCCTCTCCCCAGGCAGGGGTGTGTGCTGGAAACGTATGTGGGCGTTTTGGGTTGGCCAATGAAAGGAAACACTGCAAGCAGATGGGGGAACTGGATGCAGTGCAAGGGACTGTCCCACTCAATTGAGAATTGTCCCTGAACAGACATGTCTCTAAAGAAGATGTACAAATAGCCAATGAGCATATGAAAAGATGCTCAGCAACACTAATCATTAGGGAAATGCAAATCAAAATCACAATGAGATACTGCCCAACACCCATCAGGATGGCTATTATTAAAAAAAACAAACAACAACCCACAAAATAACAACTGTTGGAGAGGATGTTGAGAAATTGGAACTTTTACTCACTGTTGGTGGGAATATTGTGTGGTACAGTCCCTGTGGAAAACAATATGGCAGCTCCCCAAAGATTTAAATATACAATTACCATATTTTTGGGTATACACCCCAAAAAAACTGAAAGCAGGGTGTTGAAGAGATATTTACAGATCCATGTTCATAGGGGCATTATTCACAATAGCCAAGAGGTGCAAGAAACCCAAGTTTTCACTGATAGATGAATGGATGAAAAAATGTGGTCTCTATATACAATGGAATATTATTCAGTCTTAGAAAGGAAGGGAATTCTGACACACACTACAATGTGGATGAACCCTGAGGTCATAATGCTAAGTGAACTATGCCAGTCAGAAAAGGATGAACACTATAGGATCCACTGATATAAAGTCCCTAGGGTAGTCTAATTCATAGAGACAGAAAGTAGGATGGTGGTGGCCAGGGGCTGGGGGTGGGTAGAATGGGGAGTTAGTGTTTAGTGGGTACAGAGTTTCAGTTTTGCAAGAGGAAAAGAGTTCTGGAGATGGATGGAGACATGAACGCTGTGAATGCACTTAAAATCACTGAACTGGTTACTTACAAGTAATTATAATGATAAATTTTATGTGTATTTTAGTATAATTAAAAAATTTTGCCCACCTAAAGTGCCAGTAGCATCCCTTTGAGAGATATTGCCAGAATATCTAAAAATAGTCAGATAATGCATGCATTTGGTTATAAGAAGTCCACTTACCCTTTGCATACAACACCCAGAGCTCATTGTATCAGGTGCCCTCCTTAATGCCCATCACAGTTACCCCATCCCCCACCCCCCTCCCCTCCAGCAACCCTCAGTTTGTTCCCTAGAGTTAAGAGTCTCTTATGGTTTGTCTCCATCTCTGTTTTCACTAAATTCTACCCCTGAAACTAATAATACACTATATGTTAACTAAATTGAATTTAAATAAAAAATTAAAATAAATTAAAAAGAAAGAACTATACAAACTATAGAACCTAACTAAGGGACATAAAAACAATTTACTAAATGGAGAAACATTTCATACTTATGAATGGGAAGAGTTACTGTTTTAAAGTTATATATTCTCCCTCCCCGTCCAAACTTCTCTCCATCATTTGATACAATTCCAATGAAGTTTTTTTGTGTGTGTTTGTTTGGCCACATATGACAATGTATTTCTAACATTTACCAGGAAGAATAAACCAAAAAGACTTCTGCAAAAAAAAAAAAAAAAAGTCCACTCATCCTTAGGAGAACTATCTGCATGGACTAGTGCATCTGCCCTCCCTGTCCATGTTTCCTCTTTGTCTCAGCTGCCAGGGGAAGGGGACCCCTAAAATCAGGTAAAGGCGCACTTCCAAGGAGCCAAAAAACTTAGTGATGGGATTAGGAGGAATTCTGTAGTTAAATGAATAGTATTATTTTAGGACATTCTCATTTATTTATAGCAATCCACTTATAAATTATGTCTACTAATCAATAAAATCACATTGGGGCAACAACTTGGGATTTCTGGCTTCAAATGATACTTTTGGCTTTCAGTGGAAAGCTGAACGGGAGGAGAGTTCTTACCTTGTAGATACAGGACTTAGCATTCAGAAAGAAGAGCTCGATGGTAGCATTGTCCTTCAGGTATGAGATGCTTTCTATATAGAACCTGAAAGAGAAAAACTGCTAATGAGCCACAGAAGCAGCAACCGATCAAGCTGAAAATCAGCTGTTTTCTGAGCTACAGGATTTGACATGAGGACCAGAACTCCCCATCCTAAATGAAAAAGAAAAAGATGTGGTCAGTTGTTTTCATATGGTTCTTTTTTGAAAGAAAGCAGAGTTTTTCAAGCCCCTTTCTAGCACATGAGGACTGCCATGCTTGACAACCTTGACCAGAGCCAGGGAGCTGGGACTCCCACCAGAGCGGGGGTTAAACTCAACCATCTCCTTTCTTTCTCTCGAGCTGCTTTCCAATTTTTAAATTATACATGTATATATATATTTTAAAGATTTTATTTATTTATTTGACAGAGATAAAGAGAGAGAGCACAAGTAGGCAGAGAGGCAGGCAGAGGGAGAGGGAGAAGCAGGCTTCCTGCCGAGCAGGGAGCCCGATGTGGGACTCGATCCCAGGACCCTGGGGTCATGACCTGAGCCGAAGGCAGTCGCTTAACCAACTGAGCCACCCAGGTCCCCCAATTTTTAAATAATATTATTGGACTTTCATACATTGTTTTGGTCCTAATCACTGTTGAGTTGGATTTCCTGAAGATAATTTCTTCTGCTCAATTGAAAAAGGAGGCCCTATTTCTCTTTCAAATGGTTACGACGTTATCTTCCCAAAGGCGGTGAGGTGCGATTTGATTTCTGCGAATCCAGAGAGCTGTGGTAAGTGCTCTTAATGCTGTGGTATTAATGCATATTAAGCCAAATGAGAATTGGATTTTTATCCAGATGGAGCTTATAGATTTCTTTCATGATGAAACATGCTGAAATTATTTACGTTTACGTTTAATGCACCTTTTTATGCATTGACTTTGGCGTTTATTAAATCACGTAATCAGATTAGGCACTTGTACTTGTCTAGGGACCAGTCGCGTGCAGGGAGGGGGTGATGGAAGGCAGAGCCTTGCCAGGGAACAGGCCCCGAGTGGGGCCACTGGATACCTGCCTCCTGGAAACTGGGGCTACCCCGAGGTGGCGGTGGCAGTAGCAGGTGTAATGGGAAGGTAAGGGCTAGGTCCTTCTAGAACAGCGTTACAGTATGATGGAAAGAATCCTGGGGAGGAAGTCAAGAGACCAGTGATCTGGTCCCAGCTCTGTATGATTTAGGGCAAATCACTTCATCTCTCTGGGCTTCTGTTTTCCAGACTGTAAAAGAAGACTGAGGGACCCGGTCAGTGGTTCTCCACCTAAGAAGTCTACGCTGTCAAATACTGGAAACTCATTTGGATGAAGACAACAATAACAGCAACAAAAACAACAAACCAACATTGCATGAGGCTAACAAAACACACCCCTAGGCAAGGACAAGCCCACAGCCCACCCATTTGTAACCTCTTGTCCGCAGATGGATTGTGTTTTCTGTCATTTTTCCGGTGTGGGTGTGCAGAGGCTGCTGTGATTAATATCATACAGACTCGTTTCAACTTGTGAGTGAATCCAGAGTAACTTCAGATACTAGCAGATATTTTCAATAAACAGGTATTAATACAATTTCCCCTAGGTGAGAGTCTACAAAATATTTGGAAATTAAGAGTATGGAGCTCATTCTTACAAAGTTTGGGAATGAGTAGGATCCTTGGGGGACCTCTGCCACCCAGTCTCTCCCTGCAAGAAAAAAAAAAGAAGCACCTGCCTCTTGCTTTTTGGAGGAGGTATTTTAGGTCATGGAGGCTCCATAAAGGGTCTACAGTGGTCCCAAAGGAACGCCCGGGTGGCTCAGTTGGTGAGCAACTGCTTTCGGCTCAGGTCATGATCCTGGAGTCCCAGGATCCAGTCCTGTATGCATCAGCGGGGTTCTGCTTCTCCCTTTGACCCTCCCCCCTCTCATGCTCTCTCTCTCT